GCAGGTTACGAGACTTAAACCTGGTGCAATCTTGACCATAGCACTTATCGGACACAGTCTCGTGTGTGTGCCTTCTCCCAAAACACGGCCTGGGGGGCCATATACACCTGAATTCTTCTTAAACACTTCCCCAAAGGCTTTTGTCACCAACAGAGCCAAGATAATGTAATAGATGGACTCTTGGCCTGAGTCAGTGTGACTCTCCTACAGTTATGTTGTGACACCTTGTTTTTACAATTTAGGCAACAAAAGGAAACGTTTTGGTCTGTATTTTGGACTTTTTGATTAAGCACATTTGTCTCTCTATTACTTGCATTCTTATAAACCTTTTCAAACTGTACTTTGGGATACAGGAAATCCTCTTTTGCTTTTTCCCTTGTCCTGAGTAAAGGCTAATTTTAAAGTAACTGGGTAAAAATCACAAGTTCCCTCCCTGCACGGGTGGCAGTACCAGAATCTGGAATACAGCGGTACTAACTACCCTTCAACATATTTCTCTAAGCTATTCATAACTTTGCACATGTTGGTAGCACAGGGGTGTGAAAGAAACCAAGGTATTTTATTGATGACCAGTGGCCACCAAGCTCTCTGGAAAGGCGGTATAGCTGTGAGAAAGACATAAAGGTCGCAAGAGAGTAATTTAAAGTTTGTCTTTGCTCAGGCATTTTTGGCATGTTCCTACCAGGTCACACAATTATAGAAAATGACTCTCATTTGCAATTTACTATTAATTTACATGTTTTAAGCACTACTTCTCATTGCATTTACCTGTATTTTTATATATGATTTTAGACATGCTTACTGTGAGAAGTAATCCCCATATGCAACACTTTGATAATCCTTCTAATATGGAAAATCTTTTCCAGCCACCTAAATTTAGCATACAGGCAGATACCTGTTCCAAAAAGAGAGATGTACCTTGCCTAGATTACTGGTAATTAATACAATTGGACCATCCCTCCAGTCAATGCACAGTAATCTAAAATTTCATGGTTTGTAAACTTGTAGTCACAGCATAGAACAAACATACAGCAAATTTGTGTTTAAATGTCCCAAGTAGACAGTTTTTGCCTGGCAAGCTGAAGATGTTTTTTAGCTGAGGGAGTGATTCACACCATCAGAATGGAGGAACATGTTGACACAAGAAAAATCCAATTGAATTGCAGCATTTTCACTCCAAGATGCACTGGGAAATGCTCAGTCATCTCCCTGTTCCCTCATACTTTTTACAGTGGCAACCTGGTACACTACCTTCGTGAAAAATGATAGAAATTTATCACAATGTATGCAATGTATTTGGTCCTCATATGACAAAAAGTAAACTGAACTTTCCAGCACTTCCTCAATTTGTGTGAATGTGCAGAATTTGCTGGTTGCTTGATTTGCCATCAGGATTGGAAGCTAAGCAGACAATTGTTGTGAACTAGCACCTGAAAAGTCCACACTTCTCTAAACATTTTTCATAAAAAAGTCCTTCACAAGTTTATAATAAAAATTTACACATCAATTGACACACATTTCATAGCTGATGCTGTGAGAAATAGAAGCTGTTGCCAAGATTAAAATGCACGAAAATCAAATGTAAATGCAAAATCCTATTACATTTCTTAAAGGGAGCAAAGCAGTTATTTAAAAGAGCACTTTAATATGCAGCTATAAAATCTAATATTCTGTCTGCACAATTTATATATATACATAAGCTAAAAATGTGTGTTCCTCAGAACTATTTATGCAACTTTAATAGAGTGGATTTTTTTTTTGCAAATATGAGTTTAAAAAGATGCATTTCTAAAATCCTATTATTGCATTTTTCCCAAATGCTCTAGGCATTAATGCTGTTCACCATTTAATTATTTTTTAAATTAAAACAATTTTCAGTAGTCTCTGTGCTCTGATTTTCAACCACACTATCAAAACTATCCTTAAGTCACAGGTTAGGTTTTCCATTACCACAGGCAGCTGTATTGTATAAGCTTTCTATAAAGTGGCCAAACTCCACATTAAAGGGATTTTGTTTGTTTGTTTGTTTGCCTTTTTGATTGATAGCAACACTGCTCTTGCTGAGAGGAACAACTTCGTGGCTCTTATGGTTAGAAACTCTTTTCTAATTTCTAGTTCTTATCCACTTGTTTACATTGCTTGTTTCTACCCCATGGTTACACTTTCAGGAAAAAAAATCATATTCTTTATGATCCTTTATTTTTTGCAGCTAATGAGGTTCCCCTTGTAAATATTCTCTATTTCCATCAACTGCCAAGTAGTCCTTCTTAGTACCTGATCACTGGCCCTGAAAATCAATGATTGGAATAGTACAGATTCTTATCAATAATCACAGAAGCATAGAATCATTTGGGTTGGAAGGGACCTTAAAGATAATCTAGTTCCAACCCACCTGCCATGGGCAGGGACACCTCCCACTAGAGCAGGTTGCTCAAAGCCCCATCCAGCCTGGCCTTGAACACTTCCAGGGTTGGGGCATCCACGACTTCCCTGGGCAACCTGTTCCAGTGCCTCACCACTGTCTCACCCTCATGGTAAAGAATTTCTTTCTAGTATCTAATCTAAATCTCCCCTCTTCCAATTTAAAACCATTACCCCTTGTCCTGTCACTACACTTCCTGACAAAGAGTCCCTCTCTGGCTCTCCCATAGGCTCCCTTCAGATGTTGAAAGGCCGCTATAAGGTCTCCCCAGAGCCTTCTCTTCTCCAGGCAAGTCATTGTACAGTATTTTTTCCAGAGTATTAGTATTTCCCTCTCTCCATTGGCAACTGTTTAGCTACCTCACCATCAGAACACATTCCCCTTTTTCACAGCACAAGGCACTGATGGTTCCTAGACACACTTATCAACTCACGTCCACAGATCTTTATCATCATCAGTCATTTTGAGAAGATGTGCTCTCCCTAAATCTAGCAGTAAAACTCCAATAGTGTGTGATGTGACCCAAATAATCTGATTTCCATATGTGCTAAGAACCTAGTACTTCTGTTGATTCACATAGGATTATCAATTTCAAGGATCAGGCCAGATGAAATTCAAGCTCATCGTTGGTAAAGTATTTCTGATAAGAAACATAAGTTTACAATGATATCAGGTTTGCCAGATAAGACTGAACATGTGTACTGAATCTAGAGGACTTGAGCATCCAAATAATATAAATGCAAGTCAAAATCAGAGTCCATTCAGGTTGTCTGTTGACAAGGGGATGTAGTTGCTCTTTATGATTTTTAAGACTCCAAAATAAGTCTCTCAGCTCCATTTGCAGCTAGGTGACCTTCTACCAGAGAAAGGACACGCCCCACTACTCTCAGGCAAATTTTTCTCCCTTTCACACCATCCCTCCTAGCGTTTTAGCCAGCTGCTATGGGTGATCGTGCCTCTCTACAATTTCCATTACATTATAAGTTGCTCCATAATCAAGTCAAATTTAACACCACTCCAGTTCTTAATGATGTCTAGATGTCATCAAAAAGGCTCCTTCATATTCAAGTTGAGGAAAGCTGTTGACAAGATTACCTACCACTACAATAACAACACAATGTCACAGTGATAAAATCTTGCCCCATTCCAGGAAGGAATTAAGGGCATAATACTCTTCTCCAACCTGCCATCCCTAATACCATCTCAGAGAACAGTGCACTTAAACACCACAGAACACAACCAAATGAAAAACACCCAATATCTCAAAGAATATTAGTTCACAACATGAGATTATACAGCAAGGACAGAGAAAAAATGAAACAGATGTAATGCACTAATTAATTAAACCTCATTGCTTAATTTGCTATTAGAAAGCATTCAGGTAAAATATGTTGAGGCAAAATTAAGAAACTACATTAGAATAGGAGTACCTTTATGTAAAAAGAAGATCCTGGAGACAGAAGTTATTATTTTGAAATACTGGAATTCATAAAAAGTGAATTAAACACCTGATAGAAATGTATCTACAAGGGCACTGTAGAAATTCTTAGTCTCATTCTTGTCAATAAAAATATAGCAGCATTTCGGCAGGTAAATCTGCCTCCAGTAAAATACTTTAAACTCCATTTACACTTGGGGAAAACTTGAAATCTTCGGTTATATTGAGGTAATGGCAGGTGTCAGTCTCTTCAACACCAAATACGCTCACCTTGTTATTCTCAGGAAATTTTCCATTTTAGTAAGCTATTTATAAGAGACTAGTGTAAGCTATGGCAGAAAGAATTATTGATTAAAAACTGATATACTTTAGGAAAAGAGAAGCAGTACATGTGTGTACTTCATCTAAACATAATCCATAACATAAGAATAAAATAATGCAATTTTTAAAAACTCTTAGAACAGTTAACATTTCAATAATTTTGAAACAAATGAATAAATGAATCACAAGGATATGAAGTAAACCAGAGTTTTGTGAATATTTTTCTTGATGAGCAGTCAACACTGCAATGGAAATTCTTTTATTAAATGCCACTTCACAGTACCATGGCTCCATATGTATGTTATAGCGGAGAAGCCACAACCATCATTGTTCCCATCACAGAGATGCATTTACCTATTTCACTTCAACTTTCTTTAGGCAAAAAGGGTATTAATAAAAATGACAAGACAAATTATCTCTATCAAAGCATAAAGAACACAGGTTTGGCCTTTGTTTACATCGGTTTATTGGATTTACTGGGCTATTTATGATGTTGGAGGCCCTATAGTCCACTTCCAGAGAAAAAGAATGCAGGACAAATCCTTCAGTCACTGTCACTCCTCCCCTCTCACTAACGAAGAGGGAAATATTACACAGCATATTATATCCTATTATATATCTGTCCTAGAAAACACAGCTCTGGGGTTTCAATTAACTTTTATTAAATTGTTTGGTCAAGAGATCCCATAAAGGGTTATTCTGCAGGGATAGTTTTCCATTGGCAATGTTTCTAGTATGGTACTTTTATAAACCAAAAGACTAGATCTACAAAGAACTGGCCTCATTTCAGGTCTCCAAAAAATAATTTTATGTGCTTACCTGCCCCCATTATGAGCCCCGGTGCAGTGTCTTTCGTATGGACTGTTCCTGATACATAGGGATTGTCGGCCCAGCGGAGATGGAGGTGAAGGTAGCAATCAGGCTTGTGGGGGAAAAAGAGAACAGGTTTTAAAAAAAAAAACAAAACACAACTTGTAAAAGTTATGTTCTTACAATAAGGAGAGCATAGTCAGAGAGCAGCTTCAGCAATGCATGTCTTTGTAGAGAAAGAGAATGGCTGTTTCCCATGGAGACAAAGCCCAGCCTGAAACACCCAGTTAATATTAGCTATCTAACTAGCAAGCATCTCTGGTGATGTCTGTGTAGTCTGCCACTGTCTCAGCAAAAAGACTTCCAAACTCAAAAAAGTCAGGATGAAATTATTGTATAAAAAACCCTTGTGACAGAACAACTGATTAAAAATTCTAACTAACAGCAACAAGTATTGTACATTTCTTGGTCCCAAGTAACTGATAAAATCAAAACCAACTGTTTGTACTGAAATTATTCTTTTTTTGTTTTTTAGGAAAAAAAGTGCTACGAAAAAAAGCATAATAACTTTTGGATATATCTATCATCATTCCTTGCTAAGCAACTTACTGCTCCTTGCTCTTTGTGCAGCAGCACTCAGAGGTCACATTGCTCACAGCAATCTGACCAGGAGCTTTCCCGGGAGCGGGATGGGCTGCCAGCCCCACCTGGGAGCTGCTGCCACTGCCAGCCCTCCTCTCATCACGAGGAGCTCTGGATCAGGCCCTGCAGGCTGAGGTCAAGATCATGTAGCAAAGTCTTGAACTCTTCAAAAGGAAGCCAGCAGCTCCAGCCCCCCACTTCTGCTACATGGAGAGGGATCAGAGTTCTGGCAGTGGCAGGACTAAAAGCATTTATTTTGCCCCATCATTGCAGAGCCTGGAGCCCCCAGGAGCAGAGAGTCAGCCAGAAAAATACAAGGTTTTCAGTACAGCCTCAAAAATAACAAAATATTATGGGTAGCTGAGCCATCTAACCAAACTGAAATAACATCACCTTACAAAAAGAAACTTTTTTCATGCAGTTAACTGTGGTGTTTATTTCCAAGCAACTGTAAAGAGTTTCCTTTAAAAGGGAATCAAGGGCTACCTTGGCTTAAGATGAAACAGAAGTATGAAAGATGGAAAGAGAAAACATATTGAAAACTCCGATGATGTGCCCCTTATATCCAGAGACAAAATGGTTGTTGTCATGATCATTCTGAACTGGCTTGTGTGGTTCACACACAAGAAAAAAACGTCCTCTTCGTGTGAAAGTAAGGGCTGCATTTCTTAATGCAGAGCTACAGAGAGGCCATGGCTACTCACACTGCAAGATGAATGGACTAACAGCTTGTCAAGCCACTGCCTTGTAATGCAAGTAGATTTTCTGGCTAGTTTGGCTGGTAAACTTGGCACAAAACTCTTGGGCTGCTAGAACTACTGCACAACATACCATACGAACCATTCTTGTGCACTTTAGGGAAAGGACAGACCAAAAAGAACCACTTACAGGCTTGCAGTTTGTCGGTTTGCCATTCATATCCATGTCTGGAGGGTTTAGAAAATCCCAGTCACGGCCTTTGTTGTAGGTTATCAGAGTTGTAACTTTCCCATCAATTTTCTGGTTGGCCAGAAAGACTCCTTTTACACCTCTGACCTGGAGCATACAGGAGAGAGAGTTAAAGACCAGCACATACACATTTTTTTCAACAAGGCAACAAGGATTATCCCCGATTAGCTGCTCTCCTCTGGCTCTGAACTGTGGACCTCAGGTACACTCTCCACAAAGAAAGTAAATGATACCTTAAAAAAAAAAAAGGAAGGCAAAAGGAAAAAGGATAAGAGGAAAAGGTGAACGGGGGAAAGGGAAGATAATTATTAACTGACTCGTATTTCTAAATGTATTTAAAAAGGATATAGAGTTCTCTTAATGTCAGAAGGCTAACGAAATTACATGTAGTTTATACAGCAAAATATGAAAATTACAATAGCATGGCCTTCATGTACACTACTGTTAAAATTACAGCTCTGCATTTTTTTTAAATATGGACATCTCTAAAATGTTATTCTACAAATTATGTAAGTAACTTATAGTAGCAACTTAACTCTTACACTGAAGTCATGTAACCCATATCATATAGATAGTATACAAATAGGTTAAAATAACAAAATACAATATAATTTCCTTTAAAATAACACTGAATTAGGAAGCACAATTGCCTTTTGTAGTAAATAAGTGCAGACAGTAATAGCACCTTATTATGTTTACTTCTAGCCCTAATAATTATGTTATGTGTTAATATTCTACCAGATGGCATAAGATCTTCTATTACATTTGAAGCTTTCCTTAAGAGCGCTTGTTTCCCTGGTAATTATTTATAAGGTTTCTTGAATTTTTAAAAAATTCTTGAAAATTTACATCAACTCACATAATATTTGCAGCATAGTACAGCTCTCTAATCTGCTTGTGTGCTGTCATTTAACAAAACTGAACCATTCATTACAACTGAGCACACAAGAGAGCCAGCTCTTCGCATAATCAGGAATATTTGCCTCTTACTGAAATGATTCATTCCTGGATTTACTATTTACTTTGTATCTGAAATACTTTTTCCTTTTTTTTTTTTTCCAACTACCAGTTATGAACTCCCTTTAACACTAATTTAATAAGAGACTGCATTTAGGGTGAAGAGAAGGCATCCCTTTCAGCAGGTGGCAGATTTGATACCCATTGTTTATATGCTTTTTTTCTAAGGAACTGACCCAAATCTACTAAGAATAAGAATGCTCTGCTGGTTATGGTAATAGCCTAGAACTTGGAAATGTATTTACATTTAGATAACCAAATGCTGTATAGACATTTGAATACCCACTCTCTCATGAGTTCCCTCTTCATTAAATGCCATGCATGTGTGGTTGGTTTACTACCCAGCATGCTGGAAGCTCAGAATCACCTCCAAGTCAGACATACTATAAAAGCCAACTACTTTGCAGTGCAAGTGAGAAAAGGAAGGGTAAGGAAGAAACTAGGAACCTACATTTTTTTTTACTTTCAAAGCACTTTCATCTTGCTGGGGTTTTATTACATATTCTGTCTTCCAGAGATCTCACAGCCATGAATACGACTGAAAAGCCTGGCAGTTCAAACATTTACTAGAGAAGGTAGACTTGGGGTTCAATTTCTGTGCATGTCTTTCTTCCAGTGAGCACAATATTAAATATTTAAAAAATAATTAGATCAGGGACTGCAAGTGAGGTTTCCCTCTTCATTTGTGGATCACAAAACCAGTGCTGCATCATGAATATTTTTGTTTCCGCTCTCTGTCTCTCTTTTTCTCTCATTCTTGTTTAATGAATATTTAATCATTCCATATAATCATTCAGTGGGAGTCTAAAATTTTTCTGCATTCCCACTCCAATCTCTAACCTATCCAAGTGCTAGAGTAACCTCTCCTCTCTGTACTTTTGTACAGAAATTCTTCTGTACTTTCTACTCCTTGACTCAGCTCCCCAATCTAAATTTGGGAGATTAGCATCTTTCCACCAACAAGGAAAAAGAATATGGGACATAAGTGTTTTAATCTATCAGACAGAAAGGTTATAAAAAAAAAATTATTCCAGTGTCTCAGTTAACCTCTCTCACTGCTGCTCTAAAAAAAAAAGCCAACTAGCACTTCAGCAGTTCCATGTTGAATGAAAGGCATAAACCCTATTTGAAATAATAAATAAGTTTCAGACATCTACCTTCAAGGCAAATTCAAACTCATGATGTTTAGAGTGATGCACTAGCCTCAAAAATAATAACTAACATAAAACTATTGTGTGTAATGGCAGCTTTAAAACAGTCCATCCTCTCTGAAGCATTTTCTGTTTTATTAGTCCTGTGACTTACGTAAATACACACTTATCTCTTTCTGTAAATGCTGTGTGTCAAATCTACATTCTGGATGCCGAGGCACCCAAATTCATCTGTACTTTCTAATCCTAGACTCAGTTCCCTAATCTAAATTTGGGAGATTAGCTTCTTCCTACCACAAAGGAAAAAGATTCACATTAATAATAAGGTGCTACGGAAAGGAAGACATTTCAGCATTGTGGAGTGTTCAGTTACTCTGATGAGCAGTCCAGTAGCTGCCTGTGACAGACAAACACAAGGAAATTCAAAAGTACCTTTCTTTTGATTTTCTTTGGGCTTGTTGGATTAGTTCTTGGAACCCCTACTTCTAAACCAGCTCAGCGCTTAGCTGTTTCCCAAGTACTCTTAGGAAAGCATTTTGTACCTTATAAACCTATTTTCTAAACAGTTTTTCTGCTATGACTGTGTATTCTGTGACAGATTAATTTCTGCAATGTTACATTATTGATCTTACAGCAAAATAATATTCTATATTACTTGGTAGCAAGAAGCACTACTCAGATGGCCCCACAGTGTTTATTAGAAGCATTTACTGAAATACAAAAAATACAGCTATATAACAGCAGTTTGTAATTAAAATTTGAATATATACAATTTGTTTGGGAAAAAAAGGATGAAGAATGTGTACTGCCACTTGTGTAGCTCTTACCTACATGAGGATTCTTAACAAGATCAAATCTAGAAGTATTACATTAGCATGCCCATTTTGCAAATATGCCTGTGTCAAATTTGTGACTGGTTCACATTGGCAGCACTTGATACAATTTCAAGGACATGCTCCTTTTATACAGTTGCAAATTTCAAGGGCATGTTCCTTTTTTTGTCTTTTTTTCTTTGAACAAGTATTTCGGGAATTATTCCCCTTTCTCACACACAACATGAAAAGAAATACAGTACAAAAACCAAAAAAGATAAAGCATATAAAAGAAACTGAACACAGACAGGCAGAAACCTAGAAAAGATTGTATAGCAGATATACAAGTAAAAGATGAAGTAAAGTCAGCAGAAGATAACAAAGATGAACAGTGCAAATTTTAAGAAAAATTATACATTAGTGGAAAGAGAAGTTGTCGACCACTAAGGACTGTCTCTGTTGCACTGAAGATTCCTCTTCCCAAGATTGGATATTTGCATTAAAATGCCCAGATAGAAAACCCAGACTAGACCAAAAAAATACCATCCTTAAGGACTGTCTACGTGTTATACTTAGTATTTATTACTGTGTAAATAATCTATACATTACTTGTAGATATGAGTACTTGATCACATTCTAGTAAAGAAGATGAAAGCTAATTATTTATCATACAAGCTATGTGGAAGCTGTAGGCTTTCTTACTGTAAGCAAATAAAACTGTTCTCCTATAATGCAACTCTATTCCAAAAATAACTGCTAAAAATTGAAATGTATGGCTCCACATACTGTTTTTCAATTATTCTTTATCATTTGCACATTTTCTTTTTAATGCAACCCTACAAATTAATCCAGCATCCACAATAATCTAGGATATCTCTCTCTTGCGCATTATCAAATATGCTCTCAGTAGCATTGTGAAATTCTGAAGTCACCAGTGAAACTGAATTAAGTAAATAACTCTTTTAGACAAAAGGACATCCAGGGGTGGCATCTCTGTACAACTTATCTGAGATGACATGCTACAGGTGACGCAGGGAGGAGAGATTTCACCTGACTCCCTTTTAGCTTTGCATCCCGCAGGAGCAGCAAGGAGCAAAGTGCTGCAAACTAATGTTCTCAATAAATCTTCCTGTGGGAATGTGGCTACACACACAATGTGTAGCTTCACTCATTAAGAAGCCTCATTTCTAAAAAGGTAGAGTCTAGAAAATAACCATTGATAATGATACACCTTTCGTTTTACTAGAGCCATTGGGAAAGAAAAACCTAAACAAAGACGTAGAAGATAAGGGGCGGGGGGGAAGTGGGGGAACTACTATCATTTTCCCCCACCTAGAAGAGTCTAATTACTGCTGTTTAACAGCTCTATATGTATATGACTTGTACCCTAAATTACTACAAACCTTTTCCAGAGAAACCTAATGCACTTACAAAGATTTCTTTTCTTGACTAACACTAGACAGATTAGAGAGTAACAGTGGCCAAACTGTGTCAGACCAAAGGTCCATTAGTTTAATACCCTGATAATGGCCAGTGCTCCTTGCTATAAGAAAGAACAGAACCAGAGCAAAAGTACACCTGTTCTGGTTTCAGCTGGGATAGAGTTAATTTTCTTTCTAGTAGCTGCTGTGTTTTGGATGTGGGATGATGTTGATAACACCTATTGTTTCAACTGTTGCTAAGTGATGTTTACATTAGTCAAGGACTTTTTCAGCTTCCCATAGAAGGAGAGGAAGTATAGAAAGGACAAGCTGGCCAAAGGAATGTTCCATACATAGACATCATATAAATGGGGGTTGGCCGTGGGGCAGGGATCTGTGATTCCTGCTCGGAACAGGCTGGACAACTACCAACCATTAGGGGGTGAGAAGATTTTCTGTCGCATCTTTTTTTTGATATATTTTTTTACCATTATTATCATTGTTTCCTTTTCCATTACTGTTCCATTAAACTGTCCTTATCTCAACCCATGAGATTGATTGATTTCTTTCTTTCTTCCTTCCTTCATACTTTCTTTCTCTCTTTCTTTGTTTGTTTCTCTCTTTCTTTCTTCCTTTCTTTTCCTCATTCTTCCTCACTATCCTCCCCAGTTGCTGACTGGGGTTAAACCACGACACCACCTTATTACATTTGAATGTTAACATCAACAGGAATGGAATCGGTAACAGTTTGTGCTACTCTTCCAAACTGCTATTTTCCTCAGTCTTTTCTTTAGCCAAGTGCACTGATGTTAAAATCCAAGATAGATTTGTTTACGGGAGAGTTTGTCTCACAGCAAATGCTGTTGGCACAAGACAGCTACTGAAAGCAAGTGGATTTTCTGTCCAATACCTAATTTTGTTGCTTCTTCACTTGTCCGAGCTGACACAACCTAGCACAAGGCTCACAGGGTTACTATTTAAGACTCTACTGGGTAAAAGGTGTCCTGCTCTAAGTCAGGAAGCGTATCACTGAGTCGCCCAGAAGAAAAAGGCTGTACATAGGCAGCTTCATAACTTCCTTCAATATTAAATTGTGCTGGCAGTTTCACTTTTCAAAATCTTAAAATAAAAACCCAAACAGCCAGTTCTGGTCTTGCACATCCATGGAAACCTATACCAAGAATCTATTTCTTAAGAGTGCACAGCACATCAGCAGGGCAAGAGGGGAATACAAGTAGCAATGATGTACTAAAAATAAGAAAAAAATCCTAGTCTTTAATGTAAAAAGACAACCGTGAAACTATATTAATGTAATGTTAATTATATTCAATCAAAATAAAAAAAATTATAACTCCACCCAGACTACACACGTTGGAAGAGATAAAGACCTACCTCCAGAATATCTATCAGGACATTCTCTTCTGGCTGCTTTGTGCTCCGGACGTTCTCCAGCAGGATAGAGTAGTAAACACCTTGTGGGTCAGACTGGTACAGGTTGTACGTGTCTGTCTGGTACCACTCCTGAACAGCCACAAATACCTGGTTTTCATCTGTACTGATTATCTGTAAATCCTGTAGAAAAATAAGATACAAAATTACTAATTTTGTCCTAATTTTCTTTTACAAATAATAAGTTTACCAAGAGGGTTCAATACTGGGTGCTGAGTAGTGAAGGAGGAGAGAAATGCATCTGAAAATTCAGTGACAGTAATGTCTCAACATTAATATTAATCAACATGCTGTATCCCCCCACTCCGAGGTGGTCTGTCACTGCCTTCTGGCTACAGGTTATCAGAGTGCACACCAGCTTAGTGAAGACCAAAATTCGTAAATGTGCAAAAGCTGTGATCTGCTTTAACTTTCATGGGAAATGACTTCTTGAAAAGAAGGGGGAAAAAAGGAAAGGGAATTAAAAAGCAAAATGATTTTCCAAAATCTAGATGACAGTCAATGGAAGACTGAAATACCATAAACAAAGTTAATCTAAAAAAAGAATCCCCAGGTACCTAAAGAATTAAGGACTATTTCATCTAGGGTAAAGCATAACATAGCATAAAGAGGATCAGATATAATTTACAGCAGTTACATACAGGAAGCAGTACATACAGCTCATGTATATTATAGTACATAATGCTAATTTATCTATGTGGACAAGTCCACTGGAATATTCCACAGTAATAACATGACAGTCAACATTCTGCATTCATTTCTCAAGAATTTCAGGCATGGATATTGCAACAGCTTTCTTCCACTTTTCCCAGTTTCTTCATTTCAAACTTCTCGGTCAAAAAATGCACAGCTGGGGAAAATAATTTAACACTAATATTAAACAGAAGAAATAAATCAGGAACTAGCAACACTGAACTAAGCTTAGCAAACAGAAAGAAAAAAAAAGGACATGAGTTTGCAATAGGAAATGGCAGCATAAAGGGAGATGTTGGGGCTACATATGAAATGACATCTAGTCACAGAGACTGAAAGCTCATAAACTCTTTATGGCCTCAGTACTTAACTGAGAAACTGTATACAGTTTTTGTCACCCTATTACTGGAAAAATAACTAAAGAGATGGAGTGAATATGAAATAAAGCCACCAAAATGTCAAGAGAATATGAATTGGGGAAAATTGCCTTTAAAATATATATATCAAGAAAACAACTTTGTAGATCTCTAAGAGAGAAATAAAACAAAATCTGTAGGAATCCAGTTAAGACTGAAGAAAACATGAGTAACACTGAGAAACACTGAATACTTGACAAAGCATGTCAGTCACGCTTTAGGCATCTAAAAAAAAAAGACACAAATAGAAATAAAATAATACAATGGAAAGATTTTTAATATTAAAAGATGGTTGTTAAATAACTAATCATTTAGTTAAATTTAAAGTATTTTTATATCTGACACATCTCAACACAAAAGAACCTAAGTTTCTTATCAATGACAGCTCAATGCTGTTTTCAAAAACTTTCTCATTGAACTGTGTTGTAAAGTAGATTTTTGTTTAACATCCCATTAATGGATCTCTTCTTTTCTTGTACTCAAAAATTACTCAGAAGCAGAGAATCTGGCAGAACTTTAATTCTTTCCATCTAAGTATGAAACAGTTACTGTTCTGCCACAGAAATGCCAGCAAAACACAGCAACTGATCCCAACAGGTTCTTTAAAAAGCCTCTTACACATACAGAACACTTCACCTCCTGCCTTAAATACAGGGCTGTGTAGCCCACATTACACCACATCTAATTCTGAATTCACCTTCTCTTCTGCAGTGTGAGAAAAGCTCCTGTCATTATTCATTAAGTAAGGATGGAAGTGAAGCAGGGAGTGAAGCAAGGAGTAAAGAAACTTCTTTTTTTCATATGAAAACCTCTAGAAAAACCCTACTCTCCTGTGATGCCAGGAGCTTTCAGCAAAATTATCATCTACATTATTATAACAGAACATTTATACAGTGCCGTAAAAAAACGCAAAACTCCAGTGAATGTAGATAAGCTGCTTTCCTTCCCCAGGCTCTGGTGGGGCAGCACTGGCTGCACGGGTGGCCCGTGGTGGCAGCGGTATGAGCTGGGAGGACAAGTAGTTGCAGTTCTCCTGTCTCACGGTGGGATGGAGGGTGCTGAGTCAGCAGAAGCAGCGCTAAACGTGCTAGAGGAGCTGAAACGTGTGGTGAAGGAGGACAGGAAGATTAATTTTGGGCAGACTGGAGGAATAAGGTGAAATAATGAGACTGAAGAAGTTTACTGCAACAAATGAGGGCTTACTTTTCTCTTGGTAGCGACTGTTACCAAGAAAGAGATTTGTACACTCAGACTGATGCCAGTTTTTTCTGAGGCAAGAACATAATGAGTCCTGGTTTTAGCAAGTCAAATTGTCTTTCCACTTCCTTGAACTTCATTCCCTCCATTCAGAATTTACGCTTTCAGATTTCTAGTTCAGCCTTACCGCTATTTTTCTCTTTGCAGTGATTTCATTTCCCTTCAAAAAGCAAAACAGTAATTGAGTTATACTGCCTTGCAAGAATCCTGCACAACACTTTCTGTCCACCATCATGATATAATCCTCTGGGAAAATTAATTGACAAACTAAGGAAAACTGCAAAGTTCATGCATGGTATCTTTAAAAATCCTGAATGACACAGACTGTTGAATATCTAGCTAAAACAAAGCTAAATTTTCACGTCATAGAATCATAGAATGGTCAGAGTTGGAAGAGACCTTGGAGATCATCTGATTCCAACCCCCTGCCACGGCCAGGGGCACCTTCCACTAAACCATGTTGCTCTGACATGATACCCACTGCTCAACAGATGGAAAACACACGATGGTACATCAGCAAATATTGCTAGAGAGAACTGTCAGTAAAGAGTTAACTAGCAAGGACACCTGAGAGAGAGAAGAAATATCCTGATTCAAGGAATCTGGGGTTTTATTGCTTTATCTAATTCATGGCCACAGACGCTACCTCAGGCTGTGATCTCGGCAGATCCTGTATGGAAAGAATTCATTCTTTTACAATTTCATGCTTGGACTGCTGCACTTGCCTTCTTGCTGGACCTCATGCTTTCTCTCTCCACATTCCGCAGGCTACTCAAAGTCCCACTGATCATCTAATTTTTCTGTAATTATGCTATTCACACATGACTTATTCAAATTAATTTATAAATATCTTTACTGATGTTAGAGACCTTCAGAATTTGGAAGATTTCTTATTGTCACTACTCAAATATTTGTTTATCTCCAGGCAGCTTTTTTATATACATTCAGTATTTGAGTTCTTGTGCTTCCCTTTCTTTTCCGTGCTCAAGAGGAGAGTCCATGTACTTTTGGGTGTCCAAAGGCAGACTCTTTCTCCAGGTTTGCCATAACAACTAAGTTGCTTTCTCTGTGGCATGCCCATTTCTCCACTATTTTACTTTTACTCTGCGCAGTCTGCAATGTCTGCTCTGTCCCATCTCTTACTGATCCAAGCATCAATGTTGCCATCATTCTTTCTTCTCTCTCTTTTTCGTTCTTGCAAAGCTCACCATTGCCACTTTGTATCATTATTGGGGCCAGAAGACAGTTTTAAGGTGGAAGAGGGGAGAAGATTTAGATTAGATATTAGGAAGAAATTCTTTACTGTGAGGGTGGTGAGACGCTGGAACAGGTTGCCCAGAGAAGTTGTGGATGCCCCATCCCTGGAAGTGTTCAAAGCCAGGTTGGACGGGGCTTTGAGCAACCTGATCTAGTGGGAACTCGATGATCTTTAAGGACCCTTCCAACCCAAAGCATTCTAAGATTCTAAATAGGCTGTCATTCCCAAATGCAACATCCAACTGCCAGCCAGTCTTCTCCATTAGCTTAATCTCATCTTTTTAGGTTGTAAGGTTTTGTGAAGCTCTGAGAAGACTTCCAATGCCACTAGTTGTATTGTCTAAAACTCCATTGTTTTTGCATCTAAATACCCATGAGAGTTCTTGATTCTGTTTGCTAAGGTGCTTCTTTCCTTCATCCTCCTCTCTCTACTGGGTAATGTCACACCACGCTAAGCACAGATGTCTGTATGTCTATCACTAAAAGTCTGTGGAACTGCTCATAGGTTCAAGACAGTGGACTAGCCCAGGGCCAGGGATAGGTCTGCCTATAGGTGCAACCACAGAAGCCTGCAAAGCCCTCTAAAATCCACTATGTAATCAAGTCCACAGGGTCATTTCCCTAAGGGTGGATGTGAGTAAACAACCTTCAAATAATGTAAAGAGCCACTCCAAGGAAAGTGGAATAAACTGGCTTGTGTCTACTTGCAGTTAAATACTGGGTATAAATCGCAGTTAAGGAGATTTCGGTTAGACATCAGAATATCCTTCTGCAGTAGGGCCAAGTCACACACACAGAGGATAAAATGCTTAGGGAGGTAAAGTAATCTTCATCCTCAGGAATTGTTAAGAGTATATTAGACAAATATCTGTCAGGACTGGTTTCAGCAGATGACTATGTCTCAGAAAAGGACCTCTCAAGATCCTTTCCATGTGTATTGACCATGATCCTGTAAAAACAGGGGAAAATAAAAACACACCTTATTGAGATCACTTGAAACGTTAAATATACAAATAGAAATATCATTAGAAAGACAGGATTTTAGTTTTCTGGCGGTTTGTTCTGGTCTTGGTTTTTAGGTTGGTTTTTTTTTATTTAATTCAAGAACTATAATTTCTTAACTATACTAAAGAAAGTAATCAATTTTCCAAACAAATAAGAATTTCAACTTGATCTTAGAATTAGATTTAAGGTCAGCTGGAGATCTGTTGAAATCTGAATAACTTTTCTACAGAAATGCTAAATGAATGCTGAAAGTGATCAAAGTCTGCATATTAAACACTGGTATGATTAAACAAGGCATCTGGTGACAGGTCACACCACTCCTGCTCTCCCAGGGACTCATAAGCTGCTGTGTTTGTACCTCTCATCAATAGCAGAGAACACAATTGCGCAAATATACAGAAAGATTTCTTCAAAGTGATACTAGAAATAATTAGACATGTATAGAAGGCCAAACTGTGCAAACAATGAGCACCACTTCAAAGAAATGTCATATCA